TTTCAGGTGATTTGGTGGGGACATGACTTTTGTTCGGTTGTAAATCCGCTACTACCTGTTTCTGTTGGCATTTTTAGTTTGAGTGCTGTTTGTCTTCTTGCAGCCAAACCACCTTTCTTCTGTGGTATAACTGTCTTCTGTTCTTCTTTTTGTGGTGATTTTGGTGGAGATGCAGTTGGAGCTCCCATTGTAAATCCTTTATCACCAGTTTCTGTTGGTACTTTAAGTTTAAGTCCTGTTTTTCTTCTTGCAGCCAAACCTCCTTTCTTCTGTGGTATAACTGTTGGTTCTTCTTCTTTCTTTTCGGGTGATTTTGGTGGAGATTTAGTTGAAGTTCCTGTGGTAAATCCACCATCACCAACAGTTGTTGGTAATTTTAGTTTTAGTCCAGGTTTCTTTCTTGGAGGTTTGGGTGGGGTTTCACCAAATGGTTTTTCTCCAGTTGGTACACCACTTTCACTTGTTTCTGTGGGTAATTTAAGTTTGAGGCCCGGCTTTTTCCTTGGGGTTTTTGGAGTTGTTACATCTCGCTGAAGTTGTTGTGGGGTCAATGGCACTTGCACTGGAATTCTCATTTGTTCTTTTGGAGGTTCTGGAGTAAAAGGTTCACTTAGCAATTGTTTGACATCTTTTGAAAATGGAATCTTTTTTTCTTGGGGGTCAGGAATCTCTCTTGTAACTGGACTTTGTGGTGTTGGTAAAATTCCACTTTTAATAACATCAATATTTTGACCTGCAGCTTCACTTGGGGTTAAAAGTTCAGCTATCAAATTTTCCAATCTAGAGTGACATCTTAAGTATTGACCATCTCTTGTAAATCTCAAATGTCTCGCTAAAAATTGTAATACTTTCAAAAGTGAATTGAAGTATTCAGTTTTTAGAACTATAACATTATATAATTCATCTTTTATTGCACCTCCCAGCTGTTTATTTTTAAATATATTTTCATTGTTTGATCTCATTTGATAAACATACCTTCCATATCCAGCACTTTCCATTCGATGCAAATTAAATGTTGTATCTAATAAAGACAACCACCTTCTTAACGCACTTTTAGTTACTTTCTTTTTTTCATAAATATCCTTTAAAAATTCGAATATACGACTTTCAGCTTTAATCATCTCTTCTACGTTTTGAACAATTCCACTTGAAAACATAGACAGAAATTCTTTCACCTTTGTTAGTAATTTACTTAATTTGCCTTTGTGATGTTCGGATTTTTCGAAATGTCCCTGTAATAGTTGCATTAACTCTTCAGAAAGTGTTTCTTCCTCTTCTCCTAAACTTGAAGGGTTCATTGAATTCACGCTACATATAACAAGAAAGAAAACGATTAACATATAAACAATAAACAAAAGTAGTTCACTTGCACATTAAAAATAATTTTTCTTTTTTTATAACAAAGTTAATTTTTATTTGGTTGTTTTCATTCAAATGACTTGTGTTAATTTGAAGTTAAAATTGATTTCATTATTACGCAATAAAGTGAAAACATTAAATTATTATACCAACAAAACAATATTTTCGAAAAATTGGTAATTCATTCATGTTATTCGATATTAACAATTTATTTAGTTTATTTTATAATCAAATTATAGATTAAATACTAACTTTAATTGATACTATTCCACCTTTCTTTTTTTAAGTTTATTATTTGTGATACCATGAATTGTTATTTAAA